AGTATGCTTCAAGTATGGAGCATGGTTAATTTAGAGATTAAGTTCCAAATTAGATTATCTAATGGCATCTTAATGGATTGCTGACCCATTTCCTGTGGGATGGCAGCATGCAAGTCTGGCTAGAATACAATTAATTTCTTAGGAAGTGTTCTGAAGAGTTTGCCTAGATAAAAAGGAAACGTCGTGTTGTACAAATCTTTCTTTATAAACAGAGAAAGTTAGGCAAAACTACAACAAATCCCAACATATTTTTTTCAATGGCCAGATCACAGATGTTATAGGTCTGTGAAAACCAGATCAAGACCATTTTAAAGAACAGTAACGTTTTTAGTTTTGATTTTATAACAGGTGCAGATAATTTCGATGAGAATGGAGTAATTCCCTTAAACAGAATATTCAAAGACAAAGAGCAGCCCTGGTTAGCAGCCCCACTACCAAACAATGGTCATGTGCAGTTTGGCTTTTGCAGTTCTCCACCTTGAACCAAAGATTCTTCCATTCATTTACCTTATCAGCATTTCTATCATAGTCCCAGAGTGGTGCTAGGGGCCCAGAATGGTGTATAAAAAGTAGAGCATTTGAACACACTTTAGAGCTGACAGCTGAAAAGGAAATTCAGCACTCGGAGAATAAAGCTCCCCCCAGGAACTCCAGGAACAACCCAGCTGTTGTACTGTAGTTATGTGTCAAGATAACAAACTGAGAGCAGGAAATGCTAACCTAGTGAATTCACAGGGATGGTCTACGTGTAATGTTGAAATAAAAGTTAACTCTTAATACCACCGAAGGGACACGTGCCACATAGATGTGGACACACACACATACATATACACACGATACACATATATGCATACACACATGCAAACACATGTTTGTACATACAAACATATGGTTCGCAATCCAATATTAGAAATTGTTTTTTTTTTAATATTCATTCTTAAGCCTTTTGAGAGCACACATTTTTCAAAAGAAAATTTTATGGACAAAGCAAGGAAAATGGTTGAGGGCAGTGTTATGCAAATTAAGTTACATGTATGAAATGAATGCTATTGCCCCTTCCTTTTTGCCCTCCCTCTCCTGACCAACCAGATCCAAATAACCTTTACTGGCTGCTAAATTTCTCTTGGGAAATCAAGCAACTCTCTAGAATTGCGGTAATAAACGACAATTTCTTACAAAAACATGTGTGAAGTAACTACAGGATGAAGCATTCAACTCATAGAAAGGAACTGCTAACACATGTAACGTGGAAAATAGCTGATAAAAGTCTCTTTGGTGCCATTCAATTATGGCATCAGCAGAAACACAAAAATCCTTCCAATTATTTCAGTAAAATCTTCATTTATTCATTATTTCAGAGGCTGAGCAAATGGTTTGTGTAAACATATCCTTCAGTAACACGCACATGTTTATTTTAGCCATCTGAAGACTTCTTCTATGTTTATATAAGCCATCAGACACATACAACCACTCACTTGGGGCTTTACGTTTTCTTGAAAGGGGTAGGGGGGAGAAAAGAGAATGAAACAATAAATTCAGTTTCTCTTTTGCATAAAGCACTCCCTCTAATGTTTTAAAATAACTTTTGTTTACGTTATTCTTGGATTGTCCTTCAGCTTTCTTTTTCATTCTATTATATTGCTTTTTCATATTTGATAGTACAAGCTATGTTCTGGCTATAGTTTGAAGAAAGTAAGACTGTCAGGGAGTAACTGCTGTATGTGTTTATACCCACATAACTCACATATGCAACAAAGTACCCAGTGCTCCTGGGAGGACAGGTCACAAACACAACAGTACCTAGCTTAAGCAATTCATCACCTATTACCCTCCTAAGATCTGAACTCATCCTGACTAAAGTAGAAGTGAGCCCTTCACCAACATTTTACTCTGGGTCAACTGCAGTGCCTGACCTTTTGCTTAGGCAGAAAAATTCACTTTTTTAAGGCACAAGTAATTCCTTTGCTTAAGCGTGCTCATGTGCTCACACACACACACACACACACGAACACACTCAAATGCCTCACAAAATTCTAAGGTCAAAACAACAAAACACCTTCAGGGTTGCAACCTAATAAGTCTGTGAAAATGTTCCAGAAGAGTCAGTTTTGGTTCTTAAGGGAATGGGATAGGGTGGGGTGGAGGGAGGATGGAGAAAATCTTCCAGCTTCGGTTAGACTTGCACAGCTCCCTCGGCACTGCTATTTTCAGTCCTGAAAAAGGAGCTGAATTGGACATGGAGACACCTCAACGGGGCAATTGGAAAAAAGCAGAAGAGAGGGTGACCACGGACAAGTGACTGTAAGAAGAAAGTAATGGCAACCAACAAAGAACAATCAAAACAAAATAAAGCAAAACCAAAACACCCACTTTGCTTTGTCCTTTTTTACTACAAAATCTCCAAGGATTGCCTTTTGCCAGAAAGAAAAGCAACTATCACAACAAAAATAACCATCATGACAAAGGCAAATTCTCTAATGCTCTGGTTGGATAGATATGCATTTCTTCAATTTTTTTCAATTTACTCAGATGATGCTATAGCTGTAGCCATGCCCTGAAGATTCTAGATGCCTATTATCTGACTTAAAAGTCGTAGTGTTATAGATATTTATGACTTCCTTCTTAAATATTCTTTCTAGGAAAAAAAAAATAAGTTTTAAAAACAACCACAGGGCACAAACTATAAATCATCAATAAAGCTGTCCAGCCACAGACATGGCCTATTTGTATTATTAAGTATGAATTCTATTTGTGTCCGTTTTTGAATACTGTAACAAAGCAAAGCAAATTACTCTCTTACTTGAGTTTATTTATTCTGAACTGTATAATACTTAGATTTTAGGAACTGCATCTGTATCAGTCACAGCATTTATGACAGCCCACCATAAAGATTCAATAAATACCTGTTGAATGTAGGAATGTGATGACTGCCATTATCAATTATGTGCTTTCTGAATCATGATAAAAAGGAAAGAAACAAACCAAAAGATACATTTTTAAGAGCTGTTTGAATCATTAAGCCCATTCTACATATCATTATCTTCTAATCTAAAGAATTACTATTTTTGAAAGAGGGTAAAAAAGAAATTTTAACTAAATAAATTCTGAATTTTTTTGATTTCCTGTGACCAGAAACTGATTACCACACCAATTTTTCTCCAAGCAGGGGATTTGTAACATGAACAATACTCCCATAAAAACTGAGTTTAATCATGATATTTGTTCACGCCAATACATGCCTTCTGAGAGTCACTGTCTACTCACCTTTTCTTTCTTGGAATATCAATTTTTTTTGTTCAAAAAATTAGTAGGAACTAAGTGAAGTTATATTTTAAATCTCCAATAATCTATGTCTTTATTTGCCTTTACTATACTTTAGAGGCACTATCCCATTTAAAATTAATATCAATATTCCAAAGATTTGGAAGTTCACCCAGCTATAGGCACATTTACAAACCTGAGTATACTTCATCTGATTTGCAATTCTTGTAAATATGGTGAGTTTGTATGCAGAGATGGGCCATTTGCTAACTGATAAGCAGAACATGAAATATAAGGAAGTTATTTAACAAAATAAAATGCAAACACTGTGTTATTAAAAGTCCAACTAAATTAACTTTAAAATACTTATTAATTCAGACTATTTTAATAAGATACTTTCATCGAATTTAATTAAGACTATTAATCATTAAGACAATTTAAATAAGATACCTCCATTGAGTTTATCTTCTTTTTTATAAACATATATTATATTTTTTTCCCAAAGGAAAAAGGATTAACACAAGGTTGGGGGGGGTTAGTCACAATATGTAAAAATGTATACATTTTTAAAGTGGCTGCTCAACTGATCTTCAAAAAGGGGAAAAGTTATGTTGGATTCATTTTAGTTAGTAAATTAATAAAATGTCATCAAATTTTAAAGAACAGAATCTGAATAATTTTCTTAATTTTTATCTGAGTAAAAGTGGATATTTAATTAATTTGATTCTTTTAAATTCTACTCTTTAGCAGTTTCTATCAGCCAACATGAAGATGGACAGCCCACTGACACCTAATGTATGTACCTTAACACAGATAATTTCCAAAAAGGGGGGATTACAACCATAGCAGAGTTGGAAAATTTTGTTGGCTCTACTTCTAGTGAACTCCTTTAGGATTATCTCAAATTCTGCAAATTTTTATCTCTTATTACATGTGATTATACCATGAATTTTAATTATTTAATTCATCCATTTAACACAATTTGTTCTTTGATTATTTAAAATAATACATAAATATCTTTAAAATAATACATAAGAAGCTAACTTAGAACTACTTACTCTCTAAAATATACATGAGACAATATCAAAACTGGTTTTGAAAATAAAGTTTTAGAATACTTTTCTCAGCCAACCAAATGAAGTCAATCTCCCATGAGTCATATCAGTATACAAACAGAAATTAAAACTTTAAACCCAAATCCTTATTTAGCTACTGATTTCAACAATCTTCCCGCTCTGAAATTGATGGGTACTACCAATAACAATTAAATTGCCTAATTTTAAATCTTTCTTCTAGTTTTTTTCCTCTGAGAGGAGAATAAATGAATAGCAAAATGACTTAGATTTAGCAGTAAAGAGTAGAAATAAGAAGAATCTATAATGTGAAAAACCAAAGATTGATCCTCAGATAGCTGAAAAATCTTCCCTAAAGCTACAATTTCATTCAGGGCCTAAAATCTAAATGTAAAATTCCACCTCCCTCCCCCACCAAAAATATTATAAATTATATAAAACATTTGATAGCATTTAGAAATTCCATTAGCATATGCTACAGTCCCAAATTAATCTGATGTTGCATTTAAATAAGAAATAAAGGAGGGGAAGAGGAGAAGAGAAATGGTATAGCCAAAACAACTGAATTTTTAACATATATTTTCTGTAAAGCTAATTAAAAACAAACACTATAGCTCATGTAATTTTTAGGTGTAAGTGTAGGGTTGGAAATAATTAAAATGTTACCTTTGCCAAGTAATTCCCAATGTATCCTCACTGGTACTGGGGTATAAATGCCTGCCGTTTTGATTCATGGTCCAGTCACAAATCCTCAGCTGTCAATTGAAACCTAGCAGTCAGATATGGATCGAGCAGTACTACAGTTTTTAGTATTTAAATGAACACATGCAAACTAGTACCGTACATGGCATTAACCTTACTTTCCCAAGAGGCAACTTAAAAAAAAAAAAAAAGCAAAAAGAAAATCTTATTCTGAAAAGCAAAATTCCTAGACTCTTTTTTAGAAAAAGCTATTGCAATATGCTTCTCTATTAATTAAAGCATACAAGAGAAACAAGTGCTTAGAACATAACAATTAGCCATTATTAGAATACAAATTGAGCTGAAATAAAAGCAAACGTTAATGTTCAATAGAGAGATATTTTTTAGAAAGAAAATAAAAATGCTTTTTTTATATGCAACATACCAAATAATCTGCACTGAGTAAAATAATCAATAACTTTAAGCATGCAGTTTGCAAAACATAGATACATGCAGTTTAGAGGAGAAAGGCCCCACCTTACATTTGCCCTATCTTGTGTTTAGAAGCATCAAGATAATCAGTTTTAGATTTTTTACTAATTTTGTTTTATGTAAAGTGGCAGTGTTTAGAAAGAGTTGATAAGAATTTCTACTTTTATTTTAAACTCAGAGTAATGGCATTTAAAATACTTTACTACATCTGAAGAAAGTGAGGAATGCACTGAGTACAAGCTGAGACAAATTCTTCCCAGATCTCCGAATCATCAGCTCTACCCTTCAGAGCTTGTTCGAGTAACCCTATCCAGCTCTGTTTGGTTAACAGCTGCCCTACAGTGCTAGCAGATTTATTGAAAAGATATATTGCTTATTTTTATTCTTAAGAAAGTAAACTTATCTGGTTTTGGGGGGAAAACACACACTAGAAAATCATGGTTTTTAACCTTTAGATAGCCATGCTGTAAATTAACTGTATCTTACATTGAAAAGATAACTTCTTCACAGCCATCCACTAAGCCTTGTTTTGCTGCCTTTCAGTAGAATTTCTAGCTGATGATAGGAGCCAAAGTACCCTTAGACTTAGGATAAACTATGTTAAAGCTTTCTGATAATGTTATGGTTTTTTTTTTTTTTAAATTGGCTACTAAGAATCTTTGCTTTTCCTTTTAGACTCTCGAGCTTCTTCTGCACACTCTAAGTAACAGTGATTCAAAAGTTTTAGAAAGATAGCTTTTGCTCATTTTTCTATAGATCTATGAGGTTCCAAAACTGCCACTTAAAATTTCCAAAACACGTAGTTTACTTACATGGCTATTTCAGGTAAAAGTGATTTATAGTTTAAAGTGAAAAAACTCCCTTCATGTAGATAGGTAGACAGATAAATAGTTGCTAAAGATGTAGATTCTGCTTAGGATATGTGTCATAAAGAAGTTTTAAATCAACAAATAAATCAAATTGGAAAGAAAAATACCTTAAATGGACCAAAATACTTACATAAAAGAGAAAAGATCTACCTGATTTGCTTTAAATTAAACAGATGACATACTTTTATTATTTTAAAAAAGTAAATTTGTTCAATGTGGTAAGAAACAATATGGTATGATATTTAAAAAGTTCTCAAAATGGATCATCTAATCAGAAATTCAATGAGATGGGGCAAATTGTTTCGTGGTTTTCTCTTACAGTAAGGGAGTAAACTAGTTGCCTATTTCAACATACAAGTTTTAAAAGTACTGTGAAAACAATCGAAACCCGTTCAGGAAATTTGGTTTTGTATGAAGATTACCTTATGGATTAATCACTTACTGATTCTGCTCTAGTCAATGAAAATGCTAGTTTTGAATCAATTAAACATTCTGGAGAAGGGAGAGCTATAATTTAGGCATAGCATGTATTAATTACATTAATAATTAACTTCAGGTTAGTTTCTATGGGGCTCTCAGCTTTATGTTTTCAGAGAGAGAGAGAGAGACAGAGAGAGAGAATAATTTTACAAAGCCAGGGGAACCTAAGTGTCACTCACTGATTGTTTTATTGTCCCAGACAACTGCAGGAACCAATTTTCCTTGGGAGGCATTGTAAATTGATTAGTTTAGTGTTGTTGATGTTGCTAATTTTTTGTTTGTCTGTTTGTTTTACCACCCCTAAAATGTCCAGTGGACTATCTTTGACCACACACCGAACACTTTAAATTAAAATATTTTTGGACCTTTCTTCACTAAAAATAGTCTCAAAGAAGTTAAGCTGGAATATAGCTATTCATTTTCATCTATATTTAAGATGTATGCAATGGAAACAAACAGAGAAATATGCTTAAATACATACAAAATAATCAATGAATACATTTAGCAATAATTTAATGTGAGAGAAATTAGCAGGATATTAATTAGTATTGAATTAATTTTCTTTCAGTTACTCAAAAGGTAAAATATAATTTAAATTGATTTACCTCTTTAGGCTATTTACTGCCATTATCAACATTACCAAAAGTTTCTGAGGAAACACATTTATGCGTGTTTGTATGTTGTAACTTACTTACGCTAGGTTACTTAAGCAAGAACATCTCTTCATGTTGGTTTTTTAAAATTATTAAACCTTCTTTGGCATAAAGCATCTTTGAATTAATAAGTGTCCTGATAAAGAGAAGTTTTAAAGATGATGGTGTTTGTGGGATAACAATTAAATAATTAAAATAGAAATCAACTAATCACAAAACATTTCCATGATAGTGATTCCTAAGAAAATCAATTCCTAAGAATCTTACTTGACCAAGATAGTCCTGACTCAGCCAATTTTGAACAGATTCTAGAAATTGAAAAGTTAATACTATATATATATTTAAGCTTCTTGGGTCATGTTTAATATTCTTGGTATTAGTATAATTCAGTGTTCCTAACAAAAAATAATTTTATAGTAGGCTTTAAATAAGTTTAAAATAATAGGTGATAATCTTTTTTGAGTTTGGAATAGTGATCCTTCAGTTTCTTTACTGTGACAGAATCAACGTTAGATAACTCAGCTGTCAATTTTTTAAATTAAATTTTAAAACTTTAATTTTAAGTGGCACATAAATACATGGCTTTCATTTATACAAAATTCTCCTAGGTTAAAAGCTTTAATAATACATTAATGATTTTTCCAAGTATATTCCCTTAAGAAATAGGAAATTACTTTCCCCTCAATGGTAATCAAATTTCAAATACCAAGTGCACATTAGTTTAGAAATTTAGTCTGTTAAGGTTGTGTGTTTACATGTGGAGGTGGGGAACAATTCTTATTTTTGCAATAATACATAGACTCTAAAACAGGCCTGATCATATGCATATCCTTACAAAAATGCACACTCATATAAATCACTTTAATTCTTTAATTTATATGTATCTAAAAATATGAAGTTCAATTTTGTAGAAAATGTCCAGAATTCCAAAAGCAAATAAAAGCTGAAATAAGAAAGTAAGATTCTCCTCCAAAAAAGCTATCAGTAAAGAGGTAAGGCTGAAATAGTTCAAACAACTAAGAAAGAAGTGAAGGTGAAGTTTTCACTGCATATGTTCTTAGGGTGGAGTTCCATATAAAAGTATCTGCAAGGAGAACCTTGTTCCTGGCCCAACTCAAATGAGATTGTTTCAGGAAAACAAGGATGGGGGCCATCTGGTTTCCTTCAAATATCTGCATTGAAGGAAACACCTAAGATTTGGATCATTATCCTTTCCTATACCACACCCAAATCATTATATAAGTAGCTGATAACCATAAAGAATCAATATTGCTTGTGATTTCAGAATAAGGGTTTGTTTATTCAAATGAGGGTCCTCCACTGTATTAACAGGGGCTTTTGTTAAGTACATAACAATTAGCTTTGGAAAGAAGGTAGGCAAAATGTTCTACTTTGCTACACTCAACAAATAGGCTATGTACCAACAGCACTCATCATAACAACAGCCCTCAATTGAACCAATAAACCGCTAACCTATAAACAAAATAATCAACACAGATAAATTTACCTTTCCACTTTTTTTTTTTAACTTTACAGTGACCATCAGGGGAACATCCTGAAAGTTATGTTTTATGTTCTTTTGGGTTTCTTCATTTTTCCAGATGCCACAGAAACAGATTTTTAGGGGGTGCCTTTTTTGGAGGGGGGTTTTAAGATTAACACTCCAAATTCATACTTTCCTCTTAGTAGAGGAAGAATTTTAGTAAGATATTTAGTAGAATTTTACTCTATTGCTATCGTTAATTAGCTGCATGGAGCAAATAAAATGACAAATATTCATTGAAGAGTATGTAACTCTGAATAAATGGTATGAACAAGCAAAATGGTCAGAATGAATTGTGTTATATACGGAACATATAACACATATACAAAAAAAGACATTCAAGATCATCTTGGCACCTTAAAATCAATTCTAATGCCAATTTTTGAAACCCATGCTTCTTGATATTTAATTTAATTAGCAAAGTAGAATTAAGTTAAATGGGTATGCAATAATCTCTGAGCCGAATAAACATTACTGACCATAATCATAAATTAAGTATCAGAAAATAAAAAGTTTGTTTTTTCATTGGAGGTTACTTTAACTTGCAAAATTTAAGGTTTCAAGGGACTTTGGAGCACAGGTAGTTTAACTTCATCTTCCTTTCCAAGGTTCTAGGAGGGCAAAGTTTAAAGACTCATTCAAGGTTAGAAAAGCCCTGTTCACATCAACATTAAAACTCAAACCTCCTGACTCCTAATCCCTGGTTCTCACTCACTATACCAGATTGCCTGTCATTGTTCCTTTTCTATCCTATCCTTCATGTGCAGCACCAGAATACTTAAGGCTAAAACATCTGTAAATATAACCTTCAGAATTTCCTCTACTTCTTTGATTCAACTTTCTTTTAAAGCTAATATTTTCAGAAAAGAGGATAATTTTCCCCTAGTGTTTTTGGTGATTGGAATTTAAGGTTACACTAAACATAATTTTACTTTTACATTAATTAGAATAGCTTATCTGGATTTTAACCTTTGATAGCCAGTAAAGGTAAGTGAACAAACGAATGCAAGCTATAAGACAGACAATGGGAGGATTTCTTTTTAAATTTAAGAACTAGCCAAAAAACTAAACATTTGCATAGCCATTATTTCGAATGAAACTTCCTTTAAATGTGTTTCCTTTCCAGCTAGCATATGTGAAAAGTGACCTCTTATCCATTTACATACCTACCCAGAAGTCATGTGATAGTGTTTTACGTCAAGCTGTCAATTATGATAACAGACACAATAAGAACAGCCCAAGTGTTGATAGCTTGCTTCCTGACTTTATTGAAAAGTTTGTTGATAGTCGGCTTGTATCCTTTTAATTGCTTGCCTCTAATAAATGACTGCCTTTCCAGTGGTGTTAATGCACCAAGCTTAGGCTTTGCTATTTGCCAGGACAAATATTATAATGGGATTTCAACTAATATCTAGTTGACAAATAAAATCCTATAGAGGAAATTTCTTAAAAAGGCCATTTCGTGTAACAGAAATGTTCACTATAATGAAAAGTACTTTTAAATTGTATCAAGAAAAGTGTTGAAAATATTTCAATATAAACTAGCCCGGTAATTGAAATTGAAATAATAGCATTATATAGTCATGCAAGAGATGTAACATGCTGAAGCCCAAGCACCAAAAAAATCCATGCAATTGTGAGAAGTAATGCAAGGACCTGAATTGATTAGGCCACTCATTCTTAGCTCTGATAATAGGTAGCATATATACAGTTGGGAGATTATAATTTTGAGATTATGAAAATAAGCCTTATTTCTTCTAAATTGGATTTTACTTGACTTTACTGTCTCACTTAGGGAAGAAGGCAAAAGTGACCTCCCATTTTATACCACCTAAAATTTCATATCTATATTAAAAGTTAATATGCATTTCAATAGCTCATTCAAATAGTGATCTTTTATTTCTAAACAAGAAGCTTCTTAATTGCAAATTTTTATTTCCAATTTTCTGTGAGTTTTTTTTTTAAAAATATGCTGTACTGAAGCACAATATTAAGGATTTATGCTTTTATTATGACTTTAGACTCAAATATAATGTGATAATCAAATTAACCGGATTCTCTTTTATTACCAAACTTTCTTGGTAGCAAAGAAAGAAGGACAGAAATTAACAATTTGTTATGAGGTTGACCAGATAAGGCTCTGGTGCCAATTTAATTAAGTTTCCTCATATTATTCATATACAAAATTGTTAGACTGGATTATAAAATAATTTCTATATTTTCTAAGCAACATACAACACTCTGTTAGATAGTTTTCATTTTCTGAAGGAGACAAAACTTGGCAAATGTAGTTCCTCCATGGCCTCTCCTAATGAATGTGCACAGTGTGTTCACAAAGTATGAAGGAGGAAAGGAAACACTACCTTTTACTAAACTTCTATGAAGTTAAGTCAAGAGTGGAGCTCTTCCACATCTCTGAAAATGTCCCAAACCATAAAAAGACATTTTTCAGCAGAGACTAAAGAGTATAGTTTGCCAAAGCAGGACCCATGAGTTCTTCAAGCCACCAAACCATCTTCCAATAGAAAGTTAAAGAAGAACAAAGCTACAATTGAAGCTCTGATTTTAAGATTTCCCCCAGGCCAATAGCGAATGCATTAAATAAACCAATAATCCCAAAGACAAACTAGTTCCAGACCTTGAAAAATACTCAAGATTGTGTGAGCAACAAAGAAAAATCCTAAAGTCAAGTCCTGATCACCTGGCATGAGCTGATTATTATATGACTGATTAGAGGGCATTGTTTTTAACAGAAAATTATAAATTTGGTTTACATGAACATTTTTGAAATATTCGTCATGATTATATGATTTTCTGTTTCAGATTCAAATGAGATATCATATTTGCAATGATAGGTAAAAATTCCAGTATCAGAAATATTTTTAATATTTCAAGGCAGTTAGCAACCAGTATCAGTCAGTAATAACCATTATAAAAGGAGCACAAAGATGTATAATTATTAATAACAACTGCATGAGTACGAAGTTGATGAGTATAAAAGCATATACTTCTAGTATTCAGATTCGCCAATATGAATGTATTACTCTTACAGGTAAAGTACAGGGTTAATTTTAATACTATAATATTTTTCATCTCAACTTGAGAAAGCCAGTATGCTTGTGTATTAGAAATGACTATGGTGAAAGTTCTACTATAGTGTCATTTTGTGAAAAGATTATTTATAAAATGGTCAAAATTATTCAACAATTTTAAATTTATTGTTAACTCTAATTTATGTAGGCTATATTAAAGTTCTTTTCTAAAGAAAAACTAGCACTTGACAATGCACATTAATACTTTTCATAACCTAAAAGAATAAATCTTTATAAAGCAGCCACCATGAAGTGAAGAATGTACCTGGTGACAATATTTATTCTTAAGGGGTCATGTATATTAAAGGCTACGGGGAATGTTTAAAAGAACCCTCTCAGACTAAAACCACTGCCTTTCTAATTTTGATTTTCTCCTAGCTAATATAAAATGATTGATTACCTTTATTTCATGTACCCCTTGATTTTCCTTTTCATTCATCATCGAGTGCTTTAAACCAAATGCATTTAGAACCTGCTGCTAGAAGAGTGGTCTCTTTTAAATCTTTGTAAAGTAATGAAAGGACACAGTAAATCAATCTCATTTCTACTGTAGGAAAGAATAACCTTTACTCTACTGAAGTCATTTAAACTGTTTCTGTCCCTTCTTTCCTGGATAGTAAACATAAAACTTCACCTACATGATTCTTATAAATTCGAAACGATAAAAATGATAGGCTTTGAACTGGAGCCTTAGTTTACTGATATTCATATATAGCATAATATGAATTTGCATTTATTTTCTGCATGCCTCCAAATTGTAGTTCATTATGAAATAAGACGTATTGGGCTTCCTCAAGTTAAAAAGTAGCACTAACTCTTTCATTACACAGAGGGCAAATTATTTGTCTGCATGGTATTTAAAATTTTTAACTATAAAGGATGGGTGTTTTTTCTGCCAAGGACCAATATGATATCACATATTTCATAAATATCAACCACATTTGACTGAATTAAACATATTCATATTGTAAGTGGTCTTGACTCAACACTGTCCACTTAAATAACAAATGGTCATCTTTGATTAAAAAAAACCTTTGTGGTTCTAGAACTCATATATATATTTTTTTTTTCAGTTAAAATGTGCCTAGACCTCTGTCTACATAAAAACTCATATTTTCATGATGCTTGCTAAGTTTTCTTGATTTAGCTTTAAATATGTGAGAAGTACCTTTTTTATTAATGGACTTTTCTAATTATAATTACATGAGGCTCCAATGTTAGTCTTACATGATGAAAATTAAAGCTGTCATGGGTTAGCTGGGAAAGAAGGAAGACTGCCTCTAAATACATGGAGTTGGTTATAATCTAACCAGTGTTTGGGGCTAAAGGTTTAAATAATGGAGACATGTTTCTATGAATTAAAAATTAACTGGAAATTAGAGATGTGTCATAAAGAATAATGCAAATCCCATGACAAAAATATTTCTGAAAATATGTGTAATGATTTTTAAAAGAACAAGTTTCTAAATCTATAAATCCTGCATATGTTAAAAAAAACACAATGAACACATACATTTGTCAAATAGAACCATATTATAGTAATTATAACACATTTCATATTACAGCAATTTTAGAGGTGAAAAAAAGCAACATTCCAGAGAATTATGTTGAAAAGCCAACGGCTGGCAAAACCACTAATTATTATTTGGTATTTTCATAACTGTGTACAGATGTTTTCAGTTAGTTCTCACTCTTTTGTTTTGTTTTGTTTTGCTTTTTTTAAACCTGGCAAACCGTCAAGTATCCTGAATAAGCTATCATCTTTATGATTTTCTCTGAGCTCTGCATGTGGTGACCTTTAATATATGCAGTCTGCCATCTTGGCCTGCCACTGGGAAGGACTTGGGAACTCCACACGAAGCACAGTTAAGCCACAATAAGGGCAAGCAAAGTAGACAGGCTTAGAATGAAATAAGTTGCCATAAGTATCTCACTAGGCTTACTACATATATAAAAACTCACATGTACGCCTAGAGAACTTATAAATGAAGTGCAACTTAGGTAATATCAGCTCTTTCTTATTTATTACAGCCTATTTTTGCCTAATATTTTTCATCCTGCTAGTTTCAAACTGCTCTGCTATGAAAACTTTAGAGCAGCAAATGTATGCGTCATAAAATATACTTAAATTCTGACATGTTTAGAATTATTTCTGTTATCCTGTAACTAGAATCATGGGATTTGATATTGGTATGATCCATGCTTTTGACTGTGGCTAATTTGTTTATAATCCAACATTAATCCTCACTGTATATTTTCACAGTTTGGGTAAACACTTCATTTGCATTAAATTTACAGCATTAATGAGATGTGAAATTTAAAATGCTGCTCGAAACATAAATGATGTAAGAAAGCAGAACCAAAAAAAAAAGTGTTTTATCACATCTAAAATCAGTAAACCAATTTAAACCTATTAAAATAAAAATGATGTGTCGCCTGAGATTTTAGCTTTATAACTCATCTTCTTGGACTAAAATACAAAAGCAAAGAGTAAAACATCTGGAAAATATGAAATCGCTCAAAAAACACAAATTATGTACTGCCTCTACTCTAATTGGCTTTTCAATCGGTTTTCAACTTTTGCCTTTGAGAGCTATAGGCTAGTAAGTTCTCAGCAGCCAATGAGACTGAGAAAAAGACTCTGGCTGAAATAACACTGCTATTCATGAATGTTATCAATATATGCTACGGACATGGAAGAGGTCATGAGCCAATTTGAGAAACTCTGCTCAGAGAGGTGAGAAACAAAAGCTAAATGAGGAAAAATTTTGGGGAAAATGAAACGATCAATTTCGGTCTCAGAAGCCCCATGAGCCCCCTTTGTGAGTCCAGATCTGAGAGGCAACATGGAGGAAAGCACGAAGCGAAAGCGTGGCTACACCATTACACCTGGGTGAAACTTGCCCACCTGTTGCTGATGTAGGAAGGATGGGTCTCTTGGGCTTAGTCCCACATATCGATTGGCTTGAGATGTGCCTGAGGCTGTGTAGGCTGATTAAGGAAGAACAAAAACAAAGATAAAAATTGTGAACTATCAGAATGAACACCCTGTCCATGTATAAGAAACCCAGAGAAGTGGGATTTGCAACCAAAAAAAAAAAAAAAAAAGTCTCCATTTCTCTTTCTTGTCTGAGTGAATATCAAGTGATAGAAAAGAAATGGTGGTTAACGTCAAATCAACTAGTTTACCCCCCCTAAAAAAAAATCTATCCAATAAACCATAACCCATACTTTGGTGTGATTTTCTCACACTTACAAGTGGCCGTGAGAGTCCTGCAGAGATACCAAAGATTTGCTAAAAGAAGGGTCCTTTTCCTACATGTACCTTTTCACCAGATATTAGTTATCTAATAGTGGAATAATCAATGATGATATATGACTCTGAATGTAAAAGCAGACAAAGTCTGTCAGGAAAAAGTGACAGCTTTTAATGACGGGATATAAGCAAATGTGCTTGATGATATGGGAAGGGAACTGTCTTATTTAAAAATCTTACTAAAAGGAAAATCTAATATTATTACCATGAAGGAGGAGCCTTTTTTATTATCATATAGAATGAATTAGTTCAGTATTTTATTTGATGTGAAAATGACCGCAAGTAGGATAGAAATGTTTTTTTTTAAAAAAAATATTTTCCATAAGCACACACAAAAATAATCAGTTTCTCCTGATTGGTCCAGGAAGGGAATTGATGTACTTTTCAATACTTGGCCACCAGGTAGTAAGTTATATGGTGACTACTCCTTACAATCTTATGGTCTCATTTGCAAGTATTTTTTGCACATGTGCTTTTTGCTTTTTTGGTGCAGTGTGAATTTTTTGCAAAAAGTTCTCCCTATCACTAAAAGTTTTTGTTTCTTTTCACAAGGAAAGGACTAAGGTATCTTCCCATTGCTCTCTGTCACCATATGTTACATTTACACATCTAAAGAAAGCTACAATGTTTGGTTTAAAACCATCAGATCAATGAAGAATCCAGGTATTAATTTTAAATAGGCTGGCTTCCTAAACCAATATATTCATTCTGCCTTGTTTATTTAAAGGACTGCAGAGTTTGATCCATGGATGCCTTTTTAGGTCAACTTTTAAAAGACAGTGAAAATGTTCACAATCCATCTTTTGATTACTCCTGAACCCGTGCAAGGGCAGCCATAAGCAGTCAGTGGCCTCTCCAGGCCTCTGGAATTCAACACACAGCACGGACAGCTACAGAAGAGCATCACCCTTATAGAGGGAGCTCTGGATCTATGCTGCTCTTTCTTTTCAACCACGAGAAAGAGGTTTCCTTGGCCTCTGTGTTTTCTTTAACCTTCCTGACATCAATTCAATGACCAGTTTCTCATTATCAATGGTGCCTAGGAAACTGGAGCTACAAGTTGGTTTACAGCAAAGAAAAACAGCTCACTATATTTCTTTTATGTAGGAATGGAAAATGGACTGATGCACCCATCTTATACAACCAAGACATTCCTTTTGAATATTTTGTAATTTTACTAGCCAAATCAGATCCCTTTCTGAACAACCTTGTCTGTATATGAGTATAAAAACAATTCATTTACAGACAGGCTGAAGGTACTCCCATAAGTGGGCTGTCATCATTGGGGTGTGATCCTCCCCTGAATTTCATATATGAATGCCACCATAAGATTGGGAATCAAACGTTTCTAGAGCTTGGTTTTGATTATATAACCTGTGATAGTTTTTCAAATACTTTAAAAGACATATTTGTTTTCTATGTGTTTTTATTGAAATTGCTGACATTGTTTGCTCAAAGATACCAAGACATCCATTTTTAAAATTTGTGCACAATGTTTTAGTGACTGTAACATATACAGCAAGGTTTTAGAACAAAAGAATTTTTAGTTTTTCCTGAGTGGGTTTCACCCATCTTCACATTCAGGGAAGTGTTCACTAGTGTAGGACTGACCCTCTACCAACAAACCAGTTACTCAGCATTAATGATTATTGGTGGGCATTGCAAGTCTATATGAATTTATTAGTTTATATGGCTCATGAATTTTGAGAAAGAAATGCTGAGTTCACTGTACACTCAAAGTAATATCCATTTTCTTGTAGGGTTCCTTCCTAGTCTTTCAGAAAAGGCATCTTTTCAATGGCTAAGTTAAAAGCCAGTGGGGCCTCTGATTATCTCTGTAATTTCACATGGGAATTTCCAGATCATGGGAATTTTCTTGCTCTAGGAAAGAAAAATAGAGGGTTTGAATTTAAGATATCTGTATAACTGGTGAGGCACATGCTAATTCCTCCTGACTGAAACTTGATCCATTCCACTCTACCAATCTGTGCATACCAGCTCCAGTTCTAAGAAGCTGACAGTTTGGGTAAAACCAATTGATTAATTCCTTGTACACTTCTAAATATTCTATATGAAGAAGCAAAGGAATCATTTGGCTTATTGGTATGTGCTATGTTAAGTTCACTGGCTAAATCTCTGACATTTAAAATGTTATGGCCAGCTAAAAAAGCATCGTATCTGATATACCATGATAGGCAAAATAATCAAAAGGTTTAAAAAAAAAAAAGGTGCAGACAATGAAAGTGCAGGTAGCTTACATGTGCCTAATACTAAGTTTTGAAATGTTCTTGCCTGCGCCCAACATTGTATGACTGTTTCTAACAATGACATAACCTACAGTAATGTAAACATGCAATTACCTTACAGAGGCATTGATTCAGTCTGCTCATGAAGAGGCTTGATTTCTATAGGAATGTACCAATAAGTACCAATTATCTAATCTCTCGTTGGGTGATATAAAAACCTTGTACACTGCGTTATGTTATTCAGTGCAATTTCAATGTATACCTTGAACAAGCAGGCATGACTTATTATTTTTGTTATAACTGTTTACTCAAACAAATATGCTTCTCCCTTTTCAAATATGATGCACTGACTGAAATTTGATAAGAGAGAGCATGAGATAGCAGGGCCACATACATGCCTGCTAGTTCCACTTAAATGAGAAATCTCCATCTGGTTGGGTAGCTGGAAAAATGGCCGTGTTTTCCACCTTGGATCAGACATCCAATGGTGCCTTTGATGGACATTTCTCATTTCCTACAGAAATACTTACTGGTTGCTGTAGGTGAAGCTGCCTCACCTTCAGTGGATGTAGTGATGGGTTTAGTATCTGTCATGGTCAGGGTCACAGGTCGCACTGCACTGGGATGGGGAGAGGGTGCCAAGACAGGAGTGAAATGGCCAGGCACTTTCCCTACTACTTGACCACTGCTGTTAGGCTACAAAACAAAAACAGAATGCCGGGTGAAACAATCCAAAAGACAGTCATCTTGTCCAACAACTCCACTCAGCACACGTGGCTGCGTGGATCTTGCACGCTGCATGGAACTGCCACATAGGCCCTCTCAAGTCTGAGTCTGAGAGGCCAGTCAATGGTTAGTAAGAAGTAGCAGCATTTCAAAGAAGGTCTTCATCTTCAAAGCACTTTGCACAGGCTAATTCACCTTTACCACACAGCGCTGAGAGCCAGGCAGACTTAACTCTTTCATTTAGTAGGCCAGAAAACTCCCAGTGGAGACTTACTTGCTTAGCCCAAGGCTAAAATGGGATTCTTTATTGACCTAGCTAGAATTAGAACCCATTGCTTCCTTATTCTCTGCTCTTCATTTTCTATAGTTAGTCAGTTTTGGCTTTCAGAACACAATTTTCGCCTACGCTATATCACTGACACAAGGAGACATAATAAGAACATCTAAGAGATCCAACACATCGAACTCTATAATTTTCATCATTTACAGTCAAGGCCCACTCTGCTGCATGTAAAATTCTAGCGCTCTCACACACAGGTGTGCTCAGATGCACGCATCAGGCAATTTGGATTCTAGGATCTACACTCAACTTTTGATGATTTCTAATACAAGCAGATGGAATGAGATTTAAAGCCTCTAAAATTTCAGATCTACACAATGATATAAAATGCTGAACTACGTCTGTCCTTATACCTACAAATGAAAGATCTCCAAAGTAAATTAAAACCGTACTGAGTGAACCAGAAGACAATCAAATACACATTGTTATTCGAGTTACTCTTCCATTGTGGTGCATGGAGAGTTACACAAAACCGTTATTGTTGACATTGGTGGGAATTAACTGAGAAAATCCCCTGGGCAATGAAAGAAAAGATATTATTATATCTCAGTTTTAGCCTTTGGGTGCAAAAATAGTTTCTGTGGTAGGAGACAAAATTTTAAGGGTACACCATTTGAAGAAATAGTGGAATATATTTTTCTAGCCAGAGAATACTATTTTTGATTATACTCATGTTAGAATTCTCCGCTGCATAGTGTTTATCAAAATTTGCTAGGAGGTTATTCTCCACAAATATGTAATCTTTATAATCTGAACTGTTAAAGGCAAGGAAAGCAATGAAGTATTTATCAAAATATCTGCACATGAATTACAAATAGACATTTCTTTAGAGAAAAAGATGAACAGCTAACAATACTTAAATATTGTGACTTAGAGACATGAACTAAGTCTTTGGTTAGGTTCTGCAGAGGCCACATTATTTATTCTATAAAGAAAAAGGACTCACTGAATATCCTGACTATTCATCACGGGTAATTTTAAGTATTTAACTTTATGTCAGGAAAATTGACCAGAGTTTTCCTCTACGGAAACCTATGGGAGAGTTCTATCTTTAAACTAATTTTATTCAAAATATTCTGTTGAATAGCAAGACTGTCTCACTATAATTGGTGCAGCAGTAATGCAATTAATCTCTAAATTGCTGTGGGGAGAAAAAGGCATCTCAGTTGCTTAACTTAACAATCAAAATCAGTGCAGTGCTGGAGAACATTGGGAAGGAACAGTTGACTATAGGTGAATGGTGAACAAATACTCAGGGTTTTTTGGTTTTTTTTTTCATTTCTATGGTAGGAAAAGGTGAATACCAAGAGTTCTATTTTGAAAGGCAAATTAGTTGGTTTTGAGTTGGAGTTAAAAATCAAAGCAAATATAATATTCCCCAAAAAAACCAGTTCTGCCATTTATTATAAAGATCAATTTTTCCTTTTAAAGGGAAAAAGTAGTTTGTTTCTAAAGCAGACCATCAACTTTTGGTTATTGGAACATTGAAAAGAACTTCTTTATACATCTTACTCAAGAAAGAAGAAAGTCCCTCATTTTGTCATTGGTAGTACATTCAGTGGTAAAAGTGTTTCTGTATACAGTGTTCACCAAAACAGTTTCATATTACCTACCTGGAACAGAGCAGAATGACAGTCATTTCTATGAAATGCTGCCACGGAATATATTTCCCTGTCCATTCTAAAAAATTTGTCTACTGGAATTGAATCAGCATGAACAGACAGACATTTCTCTCATTTAAGAATAATAAAAGTGACAAAGAAAGAATTTCCAAGCCAATGCAGACAAATTTTCTGAAACTCAGAGTCAGAAGAATGGGAGAGTTATTTCTCATCAGTTTTCTACTAGTTCAAATAGATGAAGCTACACTAAAAAGCTTCTATCTCTTAAGGCTGTTAATAGATGAACTTTCATACTGTAGATATGAAAAGAGAGATGTCTTATCTGAAGGTGAAGTTGAACTGCATTAGGAAAGGATTATCCTACTTAGTAAATTACTCCTATTATACAAAACCCTGAGAAGGTTTTTTCATTGTTATTTTTTTAATTGAGATGAGAGTAAGATGCTTCTCTTAGAAGGTGGATATATATGTTGAAAATGTGAAGAAAAACTGAGAACAATATAGGCAGATTATCACCTAATATGCCCTCTTAACTTATAAAGAAATTGAAATATACGTAAAACAAGCACTGAATAATTAAAGAAATGCATAACACTAAGGGCCTGATTTTAATTTGCATAATTTTTCCCCTAACAGTGCCTAATTAAGACATCAGTTAAAAAAAAAAATCCAATGGAACTCTAAGATTTTCCACACTGAATTAATGTTAAGGACTTTTAATGGATGTCTTAATTAGACTTTGTTATTCATGGAAATTCTACACAAATTAAAATCAGACCTTGTGTGCACTGTTCCCAGCTGAGTCTAGCAAAATGCTCTATGGAACTGAGACTTTTGAATCCATGCTCTGACAGCAAATTTTATTTCTAAACTGATAGACTAAGATCCCACGTTTTTCCTTAGTTGTCTTTAAAAGTGCTACACCATTTGAACACACTCTTCTAAAATACAGATAATAAGTTTAACTTCAAAATTCAATACTTAGTTTAGCATATTAGTCAATGCTTCATTGACTAATAGTAATGGTTAACTTTTCAAGTAACCCAAAGGATGCTGGATATGTTGTTATTCAAAATAAAACATTTAGAAATTACCATTTTGCTTCATTTTAACAAAGTAAGGCCAAAGGGATTTTTTCCCTGACTTTTCATTGTTAATAATAAATTGATATGCACATACTGTTTACTAGCATTTTAGTAACTATTCAACTGTAGCAATGACAGAATGTTTGTGAAATTTCCCCCACACATTATAAGGCATAATAAGGAGTGGACAGGCGTCTTGGAGGTGAAGCAGCAAAGCCATATACCAGACCATAAGATCAAAATTATGTTACAGTTTTTGGATATTATAGTTATTAATAGTCTCAACTCTGGTACAAAGACTGTCTACTTGATTGTGGAAATCCTCATATACCAAATCCCTATGGAGTGACCTCTCTGTAGAAGAAACCACATGTCTAGTGAGTGAAAAATGCACATGAGTCACTGCACTTACACAATGAATCCCTAAAACCACTGCACAATGTTTACAAAAAAAAAAAAAAAAAAGATGCTTCTAGTAATGTCACTCATTAAATGTAAGTCATGTCTCTGCAGAGAATATTCAAGTAGTCATCAAACACTGAAAATGTTTACATTACCAAAGATTATTTTAATACCTAATAGTTGGTCTATAAATACAACTGCAAGTTCTTTTGTGTGTGTTTATTTTAGCACATACCTTGCTCCTGCCTGAAATAAGCACTTTCTCTCTGGTCAAACCAGGTATTTCAGAGGTGTGAACTCCAGCTCAGAGTTTTTTTGTCAATGTACTTTCTGCATAAACTTTCCCTTCAGTCAATGAAAATCCGAAAACATTCAAGCATCTTCACAAATATACCCCTTTGGGGCAACACACTTCCTACCTGTCATTCAGCCACCTTTAAATAAAAACTTATTGAGTCATCAAGAAGCTTCCTGAAGATGGATTTCAAGGCTTGATGTTCTGCCAGACATACTGTCTGACTAACCGCCATGTCTTAGAGTTAGACCTGTCCCATCTCCCTTAGGTGCTAATCTTATTTTCTCTTATTTTTACCTGGCTGGTTTGTGGACTGGATGGGTCATAAGAAGGTACATAGTTCTTCAGAGTATCCTGAGGATTCAGGTGGGGAGGATATCTGATTGTTGGATGAGAAAAGTAGCTCGATGGGGCTGGAGGAAGGATAGCTTGTGTTGGAAATGGCAACGGTGAGGGTGGAGGTGGAGTTCGAGTTGAGATGACTGCAGAAGATAGAAAAGGAAAGATTGACTCGTCAGCTGTTTACCTTACTGCTCCGTTCTCATCCTAAAGAATGCTGTGAAACTCTAAAACCAGCAGCTATTCGTTTTTTCCCCCCAAGCTTTCCTAAAATAACAGATACTCTTTCACTTTTATTCTTAATGCCAGCACTGCTAAGTACACAGAGACAAAACCCCACTCTAGGAAACTAACAATCTTGCTTTCTAGATCTATGAATTATTTAAAAAGAAGTTTCTCTTTTATAGGTTATGTCAATACTTGATAAAACATTTCTTTGAGCAAAGTGATTTCCCATCAAAAATACACTTTTGATTATGAAGTCTTTATCTCGTAAGTCTAGAACAAGACACAGCATTAAGTAGAGGGCAAGAGACCCAGAAATTTTCTACCAAAATTCAAAACAGAAGTGTAATCCAATTTCAAGTAAATCATTTCCCTATACATTCTAGCTGGTAGTTGTTTAGAAGGAAAGCCAATACCTAACACACAGTAATCTCATGTCATGAATAATTACCTGGTCATTCTATAAATGCTTATGAACATTTGAACATAGGGCTGGAAATTATTTCTCCTAATGAAAATCTTCCTTTCAAAACCAAAAGAGCCCTATTCTACTATTTTTCTTCCTACTCTAACTTAAACTATACGTAACTTAAAAGGTATTGTTTAAGGTAAAATCTACAAATGCAAATTTAAACTTTCTATAGGTAGGTATATTAACTTAACTATAAATCACATATATTTTAATAATTTTATAAAGAGAAATACAATATAAAATACATGTAATATGGACAATGTTTAATTTAACTGTAACTTTTCAACATTAGTATGATCATACTTTATTGTTGTTTTTGAAATGCAATTCTTAAGTTTGAAGGATGGAGAAAAATAAATTGTATGATCATGATTTTTATAATATTGAGGAAAATAATCATATAAGTACAAATTAAGAGTACCAACCAATATATGTAGAAGTTAAGATTAAATATTTCTATTTAATATTTCAATTCAAATCATAGGAAATTGTAAATGATAAATGTTTCATGTTTTATGAGACAACTTGGCAAACAATATGAAAAATAAATTCTGTCCATGACTTATAAAAGAAAATCATCTGGGATGACTTCTCTCCAACTTTGTAATTATGTGAACAAAAAAAAAAAACTTTCTAAGGGATACATTTCTTATCTCCCCAAAGAAAATTTTTCAGAAGATACAAGATATTAGGAATGCAAATCTTAGAAAATCATAAATTCAATTTGATAGTCACAATTTTGCTCCCTAAATGTCCAGGGCACTGATTCTCAGAATCCTCTGGATTGTTATTACAATGCAGATTCCTGGGCCTAACAACAGACCTACTGGATCATGACATCTGTGGATGAGGTCAGACTGTGCATCTTAAACAAGTACCCAATGTAATCTTCCTACACACTGAAGTTTGAGCATCTTCCAACAAATGGATGCATTTCAGAGAACAATTGCATATTCTTAAAACAAAACTCCTTATTGGAATATTACTTTATTTATGAAGTATACTCATTTGAAAGTATAATTTAAGGAAAGAGAAACATCTAAGAAAAATGGAGCATCTTTTACTTAGTGTCTAAGTGTTCTTAATCTCAACTCAATTTTACCATGATCTTTGCTCACATCTGTACACAAACCCTTGAAGGATATAGTTCCATACTGGGTCCTCTGAGTTTTGAGATCACTTTGGCTTTAGTATTTCTAGAAGAGATCTCTTTTCAACTGAACTGGCACAAATCAAATCTGAACTCAAATCTATAAGTAACCTGGAACTGTGCTTGCATGAACTGTAACTAGCCTAATACAACCAAGTAGAGTGTTACATTTTAAACATAAGGTAGTAAAAATGACTAGCTTATCAATAAGTCATTCTAGTCCTTAAAAAAAAAAGTAAAATACATGAAAAAAATGTTTCCCTTCATTATGAAAGAATATATACATACACACATGGATATGTATTCTTGTCTACATTATTACAAGGGCCTCCTAATCATCGTCCTTCCTCCAGTCTTGCTTCTTCCAATACATCCTTTATAGTTCTATATGAATGACTTTTTAAATATCCCTTATAATCATGTAATTTCTCTGTTAAAAATCTTTCAGTGGTTTCCTGCTGCCTCCAGAATAAAATCCCAACAGTTTTACAGGTATGTATGGGCTTGTGTTTTAGGACCCAGTTCTGGATCACTTCTTTGGCCTCATTTCTGGACACATTAAGAGATTTGTGGATCCTTGGGTATTTGGCAGTTCCTTGCTGTAATGACCTCTAATTGTTGCCTCCTCCTGGCTTGTTCCTTCCTGTGCTGCACTCCTCCTTCAAACTTTAGTTCAGAATCTCTTCCAGGCATCTAATTCTCCTCTGTGTATCTAGTCCTGTTCAGATTAGATGTCTAGCCAGTGATGTGGTCCTTAGTTTTCCCACTATATCATGAGCTCTTTGAGGACAGAAACCATCTTTCACAACCAAGGTGCCTACCACAAGCCCTAACATATGAACAAGTATCTGGTGAAGGACCAAGGTGGAAGAGTTATCTAGGTCCCTCATGTTTCATTATATAAGAATGGACTATTTTAACTTTTTCAAATGTTAGAAATAAGAATATTTTCATCAGATATCATAATAAATGGATAATTTGACTTCTAAGTTAATTTTGCCCAAATACCCAATATTACAAATCTATGAAACAGTTACTGATTTTTTCATCTATCTCAGTAGTACAAGCAATAAATGTAAAAATTCTTATACCACATTTAATTTGAATATTCTTCTCAATTTAATAATTTCCTTAATGATAGCAATAGAGACCATTTTTTTAAGTATAGCAACAGTAGATATCAACATACACTTATAAACCAAACTTAAGGACTTTATTTTAACAGATATTACATTCTTTGAATAAATATTTTAAAAGCAGATTTGATTAGTCTGAAGGATACAGAATTGCCTAACTATAAATTTAGAGCAGTAAGAGTATCACTATGAATGAATGTATTTATATATAATACTTTCTCCACCTAAAATTCAGTCGGTTCCTATTTAAGAGTTGAGAATGATAGGTAGAAAGTATACAGGACTGATTATTAATTATATCTCATTTTTCATTCTGAAAGAAGATTTAATATTAGCTGTTGGTTAAAGTATAAATATAAAATATAAAATTCTTTTTCCTATTTAAATTAAGATAATAGACATAATATCAAGCATACTTGCCCAAAGGTTTGTGCATATAAAACAGTAGTCGAAAAAAAGTACCTTTACTTTTCTGATTAATTTCACTCCCAAATAAGTAAATATTGATTTGGGTGTAGAAAATAACATACACAGAAATAGTATCTGTGTATCTTAATGCCTTTGGAAGTACACTCAATGCAGCAACATAACTGAAATTCCATCTTTCCCTTAGTAAAATATATAGGATTAGGACCAATCCTGAAGCTACAGTTAAGATAATTAAGTGCCCCATATTTTCTAAGTTCTTATGATAATCATCTTTTTAATGAAGGTAATTTAAAAATACATATATAAATATTATTTAATTGTCTGATTTTGAAAATCTTTTCTTATAAATTGATAAGAAAAAAACATTTTATCAGATTGTGACCCTCTCCCTTTTTGTCTGAGAAAATATAACCACTATAGCTATAATTATAAACTTCAGCTCCATCCCTAAGGGATCAGGCCCTACAGACAAGAGGGAGGCTTCTGCTCTATGCTTGAAACTCCTCACCACTGTGTGCAACACCAGGTATTCCGGGATGGTGGTGCTGGGGGAAAGTGCTCAGTCTTGGGGAAGAATCCTGTGGAGATGTAGAGCTGAACAATGGCTTTTCAGGCTTCTTCATAGTAGTCGGAGAAGACATATCTGCAATGCAGAGAGAAAAATTAAGGCTTAATGACCTTCTTAAGCTCTCAGGTTCATGTCCACATAATGAGAGATCTGACTGGCCAACGACTTAGTATTTTTGCACTTTGGCTCTTTTACAAATTATCTACTGAGTGTCAAAGACACAGCTATGTCTGAGCTTTGAAATATCTGTTAGAAACAATCTCTATTGAAATTAGCCGAAGGCTTCCTTAAAATTATCATCAGAATTATTTCTAGTACTAAATAAATCTTGAACTTCTGAGAAACCAAGTATTCTGCTTCCTTCTTTCCCTTGGTTCACATAAAGGCCTTCGTTACCTCAGCATTTCATTCTTAGATTTATAGGATTCAGGAGTTGTCTTTTGACCTGCTGACTTACACTGTGAATCAAATAGAGGACAACCCAGTGCAAATGTGAAAAACAACCTTTGGGTAGGCTGGTAAGTATATCATTGGCTTAACATCTTTTGTGGGAAACTCATTCACTTGCTTAGCAAAAAAATACATGCTTTACTTTGCTCATTCTGCAAATATGTATTGGGTTCCTCTACTTGCCAGATAAAGTGAGGATGTTAAGAAAAATAAAAAGTAATTCCTGCTCTAGGTATTCTCACTGTCAGTGAAAAGGAAAATGATAAGAAGAAAATGGTGGTCAATGGCCAAGAGGGAGTAAGTGTGCTGTTGAGAGCAGGAGGACTGTGGGATTTGCTGCTACCTCCCCAGCAGTGATGGGCAAGGAGGGGAAGGAAGGCTCCCCAGGTGAAGGAAGGAAAGCCCCAGGGGCACCATTTTTGACATGTGGGTGGGGATGACATTCCCAGAGAGGAAATATTCAGAAAAAGGAGGGCATAAAATACACAAGTAGTTCAAGGGGTCTGTGGAGATGGCAAAGTAGAAACATGAGGAAGGGGAGCAAGCAGCTGGCAGGTCCTACATGATGAAGGTCATGGTCTTCCTGTAAAAATGACTGAATGTCCACCCTGATGAGGGAAATGCCATCGATGGGCAAAATATGATCACAATTACAGTGTAGAGCAAGCCCTCCAGAAACTAAATGGAGGCTGGACTGGCCAAAATGGAGACAGAAGGCATGGAGGCCACTTAAGAAGATAGATTAATTAATACATTCATTCCATAAATATTTATTGAAGGCATAATTTATGCCAGACATTGCATTAGTTGCTGGAAACACAATGGTGAACTGAATTCACTTTTGGCTCGTGTAAAGCTTAAAATCTAGCTGGGGATACAAACCGATAAAGAGGAATTATAGAACAATGTACAACAGGCTGGGATAGGAGAAGTATTCAGGGCTTCATTCCTTCATTTGTTCATTCCATAAATATTTAATACTAACAATAGATAGATTATGAGAGCTTGAAATAGGTATGGGGATAGAGTTAATGGAATACTATTTAAACATAATTCACCCAATTAAATTAGTAACTGATGTAGACGGTTATCATCTTAAGTGTTAGGAGGTTGTACCATGTAGTTAGTTGGAATAGGGAATTTAGGAGGAAACTCTGGTTAGTAGGAGAGATGTTCCCCGATTTTAACATCTTGAGTAATGATTTTTATGGAAGTTTATACATTTATTATAAAATGTTATAAAAATGATATGAGGTATAAAATTTGAATTTTCATTATAAAAATTTTAAATGTATACACAAGTAGACAGAATTGTAATGAATCCTCATATACCCATCACCCAACTTCAGCAATGATCAACTCATTGCCAATCTTATTTCATCTTTACCCTCATCTACACTTCCTCCCCTTGTATTACTTGGAAACATAATCCAGATGTCATATAATTTCACCTCTAAATAGGTCAGTGTGTATCTCTAAAAGAAAAGAAATATTTACTATTTATCACACATAAAATATATGCAATTTGCATTTTTAATTAGAATTTTTTTTTGAAATGAGAAAAAGACCTCATGGTGCTATTAATATAAGCAACTATCTACCATTATGTTTTACCATTTGAAAAATTACCTAAGCTCTGGTAAAGGCATGCAATAAAATTAAATATGCACTTTTAGGATGCTGGCATTTAAAGAATGGCTACGCTCCTGTTAAAAACAGTAGACATTAAAGTATGCAAAAAATGACAGGTGTATTTGTAGCCATAAGCTACAATTTGTGACTAACTTGCGCTGTCATGAACCTATCAGAACTTTGATGAGTCAGAGAACCATTTCCTTATATCTTTCTCAAAAAAAAAAAAAAAGAAAAGAAAGAAATTGTTCATAAAACCACAGCAATTAATGGCACTACAAGAAAGAAAGAAAAATTTAAAACAAAGGTTTAAAAGGAAGATCATTTCAGCTAAGATATCTTCAAAATGTCAAAAATAATAGTTAATTTCACTTAGGAGCTATGTGATTTTAAGAGGTAATACTACAAATATAGGTTTTTGCCTAATGTAAGTTAAAACATAGACATACAGAGATGATCAGAGGTGGAAAGAACCCTTGTTCCACCTTTTTCATTACAGATGATGCAATAACTTTCCATTCCACATTTTCAATTTAAAATAAACTATTAGAAAAAGAAACTGGTAACTTTCTACTGACACTCTCATACTTTACTTGTGCTTAAATATAAATTTCAAATAAAATAAGTCCGTGTAAATCTGTTTCTAAAAACTCCATAGTATATATAATAAAGCTTAACTATGTATCATGTAAAAATAGTTAAATGTTACCAGAGAGCAGTATGGTGTCATTTTGGTTACATCATTTCTGGAAAAGATCAGTTAAGGCAATTGCAACTATTGTATCAGAATTTTCAGTAAATCGAGTCAAATTCACACGGGTCTCTTTTTGTAAGGGGCACATAAGTCAAGGATGCTTGTCCAGAAGTTCAAGAATATAGGTGATTGTGTAATTTTTAAGAAACGAAGCATTTATATTTTCTTAGCCAAAATGATACATCTGGTTTTATTAGGTAATTATTATGGGACCGTTTATTTTTTGGTTCTCTTTTGAGAGTGTACCTAATAATAATGGTACCTTCATGTTCGGAATACATAGAGAATTATAGAGACCAATAGTGCAGAAACAGAATAAAATTTGCTGTTCAAGTTATAAAAGGAACTACAAACTGTCTCTTTCTTGGTGGTAAAATAAAGGCAGGAAGGTCCACTGACCAAACTGTAAGGATTTGCTTTAGAAACAGATAGTATTAGAATACAAAAAAAAAAAATTGATAGTATTAGAATACAAGTTTAATTGTGTTTGTTTTCCCATTAAATTAAATTAATTCTGGGCCCGTTAGTCAATAAAAATATACTGCTACATAGCACATAGAAGGCATTGTATGCTAAGTACTTAGACAGATACAAAAGTGAATCTCCCTTCTCAAAGGAATAAAAACCAACTCTGTACTGAAGAAAGAATAAAAGGTCAATTATCTGAGGGAAGTAAGGATAGAGTTTCTAGCTATTACATTTTAATCATGAACCAAACTAGTATTGTTTTGATTTTAATTTTATTTTGAATGTCTGCAGTCTAATAGACTTCATGCCAAGCTGAAAAATGATATCGTTTCTATTTTTAATGCACTCATATGCTACAAAAAAAATGTTTGAAGAATGAATATATAGAAGAGGTAGTTTCAAGTGACCTTTCTCTGAAGAAAAACAAATGTCATGCTTTTCACAATCTGCCGTCCCTCAAGCAGGAAGAATAATACATAAAAAGATTAAGTTGAAAATAAGTTGAATAATAATAAAGCTGAATAATGTATAAATATATAATAAGTTGAATAATAATGCATACACAATAAGGCATATGTTGAATAATACATAAAATAAAGAAGAGAGAAGCAAGATGGTAAGAAGAGGGTTTGCTGATATATCTTTTGGTGGGAAGGAGGCCGGAGTTGCTGGTTAGGCTACTAAGAAAGAAACACAGACCAGGGAGGGCTTCAAATCAGACACAGAAATTTCAATTTGAGTTAGAAAGTAACAATTTACAAGTGAACTGATTTTAGAAGCAAAAAAAAAAAAACTTTTCAAAAACTCAACTATTTTTCTGTTTCCATAGCCCTTTTCACTTGTATCTGGTTGAATTAAGAATTCCTTCCTTGTCCTTTCTCCAGGCCTTCCTCACCACGCATGCCTCATTATACAAACAGCACTTGGAATCATATCCTTGAAACGGTATCTTCCTTCTTGTAATATCTACCACGTATCACATTTTTGTTTAATTTTTGCTTTGCCATTCCGTTTTATTTAAACTTTAGCTAAGCTAATTTGCCATGGTCTCCACGGGGAGCAGAAAGAATGTGTTTCTAACTCCATGCCATTCCTTAAATATGACATTCCCTTAGACTAGAGTACAAGATCTCTCTAACCCCTTATTCCAACTGTAGAACAATATTTTATCCATTGAACAAACACATTTTCTCCTCAAGTAATCCCTCCTGGGAAATTCTGAAATTTAGATTTCATGAATGATTTTCTGTTTGTATCTTATATGACTTGATGATTTCTTCATTATTATTATTTTTTTACTTGCACTATCTATTGCATACTTTTTAAAAACAAAAAGTTAACTAATGGCTCATCTCCTAAGGAAGATGATTTTATCAAAGACACAAAAAGATGTGGATGCTGAAAGAATATACTACTTTGGAAAAGAACAGAAAAAACAATCTAGGATTAGAACAAAGTAGAAGAGGTGAAGTAGGCACCATTGTCGAGACAGTTTATTTTAGAATCTCTTACTCGTGAAAGGAGCTGTATGGTGGAATGATGGCTAGTAATGTAGGATAAGCAAAACATCCATAGCTGGTACATCTTAAAATTCATGTTCAACAAATAGATATCACCAGACAAGAAGTAATTAAATGTATTAATTAAGCAAAGAGAAAAAACAAAATCAATCACTGAGTTCCCAGTAAGTGTGAGGAACTATGGCTATGCATGAGGTTCAAGATGCAAAACGAAATCACCTGGTCCCTGTCCTGGTGATCCTCACAGCTCA